ATTATGGAGCAGGCACCCAAGATCAATAAATAATCAAGGACTTATCCATAGATGGTAAGGTTTATTTCATAAGAATTGTGGATCTAAGTTCAATTTGTTGAGGTCTTTCTAATCACACATTAAACTTCTTCATGCATGAGGCAGGGTGTAAAACAAAGCCAAGTGCTTCAGCTACTGTGCTGAATATTTAAAACATAAATAAATTGGGAACAAATCTATATGACATTATCCCTAAAGAATTAAACAAAGCCAAGTGCTTCAACTACCATGCTGAATATTTAAAACATAAATAAATTGGGAACAAATCTATATGACATTATCCCTAAAGTAATTCTAACTACTTTGTTTAGCTTTTCTAGGACCATTTGTTTTCACAAATACACTTACCCAATAACATAGGATTGCATTTGGCAGCATGTTACGGTAAAGCCAGTCTTCTGAAACAAAGCATGAAAAACTGGAATTTTCACACCAACCAAGCTATAATTCAAACTTATAATCCCAACACTGGCATTCGGGGTCAGTTTAGGCTTCTTTCTACTAATAGTAACTTGCAACATATTGTGTGATGACATCAATATATAATATTTGATGTCCAATGGATTTAAATGTAATGAAACCAACAATATGGTGAATAAAAACCTCTCCAATACCTAACAAAACTGGCAAAAAAAAAAAGAAATCAAATAAAGAAGTGATTCTTTTGTGTTCTGAATCAATTTTAAGCATTTTTATACAAGTACCTATGCATCAAAAAGAAGAATGCAATGTATTCCCAGAAATTAAATTATAATCAATGTTAGTAAATAGTTTCACAAAGTACACTCTCGATTGCTGTACAGTTTAGTTTTAGTGTTTGCTTATTTTTTTATGTAGAAAAGCAGACAGCGGCTTTCTTATTGGATGGATGCTCCCCAAAAGTTATGAGTATAAATTCTAATTAAAGCAAGAAAAAATATAGCTTATTTTTTTTTACCTCACCTTAAATATATGTTAGACTAGTGTGTTGTTATATAGAGATTCTCATCTTCCACAACTTCAATAATCACACAATGATATGGTGGTTGTGATTAAATGAGGTAATATATGTAAAGGGCTTGAAACATTGACTAGCAGATAATTACAGGTGAATTCCCTATAAGACTATACTCAGAACTATTTCAAGTCAAAAAGATATGCAACTAACCAGTAATGACTGTAGATGACTTGGTATTTGCAAATGATCAACCAGATACTTTATTTAATGGAGGCTTTCATAAACTCCCATTGAGAAACTTGGAGTTGAAGGATTTTTCTGTCCTACAAACAGAATCATGAAATCATTTTGAGTTTAATGACTCCAAAGTAAACTAAAAATACATCAGGAAGAACAAAATGTTTACACAAAAATGTGTATCGCTCAAAAGTGAATTCCAATTAACAAGTCTGTTATAGATCTATTGAAAAAAGCTATTCTATTGACTAAATGAATTGCTAGTTTAATAAGAGCTACGTTTGTGATTGGATCCATTAATAGCTTAGATTTCATAAATTTGTCTGAATTTCTCAAGATGTTCATTCATACCTGGGAGACACACACACACACACACACACACACACACACACACGCACGTGCACACACACACACACACACACACACAAAACTTCTAATCAAAGCTAAGACTTTATTAAAGGTTCTTCAGGAATATAACTATAAACTAAAACATAAACCTGTTAGCTGTTCTTCTCTACTGGCAATATTATCTGTAGTAATGCATTAAATACAACACAGAGAGAGTGATTTGAAATGGGGTATATAATTACATACATAAGATAATATTCTTTATATAAACAAAAATAGAACATTTCAACGAAATAAATGTGAAAACAGTAATCTAAATAAGTTGTATAAGTAACAATTTTAAGAAAAAACATGATACAAAATACTTATAAGTAGATATTGAATAATTTATGGATTACTACCTTTCCCAAATGCTTTTTTACATGAACTTTATTTTAGTATTTTAATCATGATGCACACCTTGATTGAATCATGACTGTTAGGTCTTTCTGTGTATTAGGTGTGTATAATTTCTCCCCTTTCTTAGAAATTAAGGGAAAATGCTTCACTTAATTTACCCGACAACAGCCTCATTATTTTGGTGGGTTTCTCTCTTTCTGTTTTTGTGGTCCTGAATTTGTCTTTGAATATGATGAAAATATGAGTGCTTATAATAATGGAAATATATTTTATATAATGTTTATAATACAAGATTATGGATAGTAAAAATTATTAATTAGTGAATTTCATTTTCTAAAACATGAATTCAATAGAGGAAAATATCATAATTTGTCTTGTCCATGCAGTTATGAGTGATTTGGATACAGTGTCCTGGGTTCCCAAGCATGCAGATGTTAAAAATAACTTCACCCTCCCCAGTTTGGATTTTATGTTTCTATATATTTCAGATTAATAAAAGGGAAGCCCAAGGTGCCCATGAAACCTTAATTAAAAGAAAATTAAATGCAATACAGGGTAGCAATAGGTCAGCTCATGATTCTCTTGAAATTCTGAGTCTTTTTATATGAAAAAAAACACAAAATCCAAAAGCCTGGCAATTGCTTCAAAGTATTCAGAAGCATGTAGGAATGCCAGAAGGCTAGCAACAGAAACAACTTGTGAAACAAACCTATTAATATGGTCCCAGATTTAAAATTAAGTAATAAACAATTTCGTGTTTCACAGGCATTACCTGAGGGCGTCAAGTATGAACCACTTGGAAAATGTTTTTAATAGATGCTGAAGAACCATGATTTTGTAGGTGACTTGAGCTACCCCCCCTTGTCCTCCCATTGGAATGATGACAAGTCATGCCCAAGTCCAGTGTCCATAGAATCCGTTGAGCGTTGGTGCCCCACTAGAGTCTATAGCATGGCAGAGTTCAGTTCCCTCTAGCAGGAACAGAAAGAGCCACATCATAAACATATGAGAACATTTATATATATATGGAATAATAACATCTGTGTTCTTTTTCAATAAACTATGAACTATTTAAGAAAAAAAGTGCAAATGTGGCTCAAGGGGATCACTTATCCAAACCTGAGATAAATTCAAAATAGACAGATCCCTGAAAAGATTGCTAAACATTAAGACCGGCACGTAAAAAAATCATTAAAGTTTTAAAAATATAAAATGGTTATATTAATTCCATTTTTATATTCAAACAACTAGGAACACAGATAGGAGAAAAGAGAGAAACAGCCGCCATCTTAGCACACTGGTGAGCTCACAGCTAATTAAACAACTTTCAGTGCTGACTTAATTGGCGTGCCATTTAGCCTTTAATTTTAACTGTTTATAAGAATGAGACGTACTTTTACTTTTTAACTGAATTCTGTGGGTGTGATATGCGTGGTATTAACACCCTCCTCATTGCATGGCACATAGTAGGAGGTAAAAAACATCTGTTGAATAAATATTAGCTGAATCACAGTAGCTATACAATAATGAGATTATATCTCTATATATGTACATGTATTTATCTACATTTTTTACACACCATAACTCTTTTATGGCAATGTACAACTGCATAAAATAGGCATAACATTATGGGCCAACGAAACGACCGTTAGTATATTAGAAATGCGTTTCTTGAAAAAAATTAGTCTTAGTTTCATTAATCCATGTCACATTTGTGTTTTTAAAGTGTTTATGGAAAGGAAGAGAAGTGTAAAGGCTATGGTTTTATAATTTAAAATCCTTTTCCATGGAGCCTCCTTCTCTCCAGCAAGACCAAATGCTCCCTTTGATTTATCTAAACATTAAAAGATTAAAAAGTGCATAAAAATACAACCAAGAGAAATAATAGAAAGTCCTGACTCACATTATCAGAAAATATGAACTGTCAGGATGTCATCAGGCTCAAATAGGATTTTCAATTGAAACTAAAAATAAGAATAACAATAATGATAATTTTTCTGGACAATCTACCACAAATTTAAATAAAACCGGTGCCATCAATGTAGGTGCAGCCCTTCGCCAGGGATACAGATGAGTCTTTTCTTTTGTCCTACAGAAACTGCTATTTACAAGTATTTTTACATGTGTACATATTTATAAATTTATAATTTATAGTCAGACAATAAGGGGACAACGCAGAACTTATAAGAACAATATTTTTAAATTGTCCAATAATGCATACCGTACAAAGCATTTTTATTGCTTGCTTTCAAGCACTGTGTACATTCTTAGACTATTGCACACTCCCCTACACGATACAGAAGAGCTATGCTTTATTTAAATGTGTAAGAAAATAGGATAGCTTCCATTTCAATGTAGAAATAAAGTGAACATTTGAAAACTATTTAGATGACAAAGAAGGTGTTATTGAAAGGGAATTTTAAAAATGCATTTATTGGCTCAGGGAACAATTTATTTTATTAAGGATGACGGATTACCTTTTGTGAGGGAATTTTGAATTTCAAGGCTATCTTCACGGCAAATTCTGTTAATAAGATGCATTTGTGACCTTGGTAATAATACAACCATGCAAAGAACATAATAGAATCACACTAAAACAAACAAACAAAAAATGAATAAAATAAAATTTAAACGAGGCAAAGAAACAGAAATTTTTTATGTGATTTTGCTTATTTCAATAAGATACTCCTTTTATTGATTTTATGAACATACCTATTTATGCACTATACTGAAATACTGTACAAAATTGCAAGAAATGCCACTATTTGACTAGTTATGTTTCTACAAAACCACCATCATAAAGGTGTATCTATTAGTAAAAGTCAACTAATAACTGCTAATGTATATGTGATTCAAAAGAGTTTTAAGTTTGCCAAAATGTTGAATTTAGGCATGAGACGCAATTGTTAACTTCTAGTAACGTATTTCAGGGGCATAAAGAGTATTTTTTAATATTCAAAGAAAAATTAATTTAACCATTAATATTTAGTAATTATATAAAATTGAAAATTGTGGTTTTTAATTTAGCTATGTGTGTGTGTGTATTCTAATTTAGCTAATTGTGTGTGTGTGTGTGTGTGTATGTGTGTGTGTGTGTGTGTCTGTTATGTTTGTGCATATGAATTAATTCACAATCTGTTGGTAATGCTTTGAAGTTTCAGTTTAAAAATGTTCAACTCTTACCAAAACCTCTTCTGGTTGTAAATTTGAGTCAGTGAAATCTAAAGTTGCAATTTACAAAAGCAGATTTACATTAATTCTTATCTGAAAGGACTGCTTCCAAGACAGAAAAATGTGCCAATTAACTGCTCTTTCCTTTGTAATTAGTGGCTTCTGAGTCCTGATGAAAAGAAGCCTTAAGGCAGAATTCGCAGTAAACAGGAAAGAAGAGAATCATATAAGTGCTCGTCTATATTCTGTGACACCTATGAATCCTCATTGGTGGGAGTTTTTGGCACAATTTTCTAATCCAATATGAATGTTGCTCCACAGCAGCCAAATTGGATGCTTTTTCCAGTCTCCAGCACCAAGAAAATTTAGCTGATCAATGTCAATACAACTCATACCTGGGAAGAGTAAGACACATTTAGTTTTACCTTTTTTTAATTTAAGGTAGTTTCCAGTGATTAAAATGATCTGTTGGGTTTCATTTATTACTTTGAAATAAGCTGATGCTAAAACGCAATGACCATGACATTCAGATAGTTATTAAATTCTAGGTATAATTAACATCCTGTCAGGGGCTACTCGCAATTATTTGAATTTGTCATGCTGTAATATGTACATGGCTATAGATACTATACAGAGTAATTAAAAGCTGATGTCAAATCTCGAAGTTTTTCTCCAGATGTGTGCTAAGCTTCCAATTATGCTAGGAGGGATTCTGAGCACTCAGGAAGGGGGACTGATGTTTGCAGATACCAGGTTCTGTTATTTAGAAGAATTTATCTCGGAATGACAATGTTATCTTACATTAGAGTTAGACAACAGTAGAAAATACTCCAATTAAGACCTAAATCAAAAGAGTTCACAAAATGTGGCATAGGATCCCCATTTTCATTGCTATTAAAAGAGGAAGTAAGTCAGGTCATCTGACACTCACCTTCAACCAGTTCCTAGGGTACATCTTAAAAAAGATTTGGGTGTGGGGTGCTTTCTGCTTGCGGTTCCACGAGTTAGCAAATGCGTGTCTCCATTAGAGGTGTACTGGTAAGCTATATCGCTATATACATACTGTACAGGTTGGTTCACAAATTAGCAGTTATTAGTCAGACTGTACATAGCAAAACAAACCAAGCTCAATGTCACCATCCATCCCAAAGTTAGCCTGTGTCTACTTTCAAGGACTGACCCCTAATACAGGTTCCCTGTTTAAATATGTCGCCCAGTAAACTAAATTAAATGTACCGAACAAAACTGGGAAAACTATTCTCGACATTCTGTCAATTTTGCTAACACTGTTGAAGGTCTTCTTGGCTTCAGCTGGCTTGTTTTCCGGCTTCTTGTTGGGTTCCGGTGTGGTGGCGCTCTTAGAGATGGTGGAAAGAACGGGGTCTTTGGAAAGATTCGGGGCATAATTGGCAACAGCCACTGCGTAGGCGTTGTTCTGTATCATGACAGAGGATTTCTCTTTTTTCTATTGAAAAATAGAAGAATTAACAGAATGTGGGTTGAGCCATTTCCAAACTCCAGGTCAAATTCTGAAGAAAAGTATCTTGATAAACATCAATTATCCATTAGAAAGAAGAGATTTGGGGAAATAAACAAAAGGAGTTTATTAAATCCTAAAACCATGAGGGCAAGGAAACCCCCCAGAGTAAGGTCAATGGTACCATTTTCCTGAAGAGTATTTTTTTGTTGTTCACATGGAAAACAAACAATGAAAAATACGACTTTATAAATGATACAATATTTTGACTATTATGAGTAACTCAAATATTTGTGGAATGAATGAGTGAATAAGTGAAATGTAAAAATTTTTTAACACGAGGAATGATCATCTACAGTGAATGATTTCAAATTCTGAACAGAGAAATTTAATTTCTTTAACTTGATAACAGGGTTTTCTCCCTTCGTGTCAAAATCAAATAGCAATGCTTTACTCAGATAGTGAGAAATCATAACCATATACAGAAAGCAGTGTAATAAACACTAAAAACACAGAAGATGAAATATAAACTTTTTTATTTTTGCCTCTCTCATCCACAACCTGTTACTCTTTATAATCCCCAGGTCAGTTCCCACCGACACTAGTCTAGGTGTCACTATTATCTCCTGCCTGGATGAATGGATAGTCCTGAGTGCTGTCCCAACTTGGCTCAACCTCATCCAATCACTACACACACTGTACACACAGGGATATTTTTTTTTTTAAACATAAATTGGATCATGTCAGTCCTCTGCTTAAATTCCTTCAATACTATCTCATGGAACTTAGAATAAAATCAACACTTCTTACCATGGTTCTTTCTTGTGCTCATTATAGACCAGTCCCACCGAAATAACTTCAGTTTTCAGAATACTTCCTTGTTTGGTGCCTTTGGCCATGATACCTCCTCAGGCTCAAATGCCTTCCCTCCATCCTGTCCTTCGGGTAATCAATTACCCCTCATATTTTGGTCTTGGTTTCTATGTCATTTCCTCAGAAAGGCCTTCCTTAACTATGTTGCTGTCTAATGTACTTCTGATACTTCCCCAAATATGCTCTTTCATAACACCGAGTTTATATCCCTTGAAACATTTTTCAAAATGTGTAATTTCTTTCCTTGGTTGTATAATTATTTAGTTGTGTAATTATTTTTCTCATTAGAATCTAAGTTCAATGAAAGCTACTACTACTTCTATCTGGTTAACCATTATAACCTTAACACTTAGCATGATGCCTTCTACAAGGTAGGCACATAACAGGGAGCCAAATTAATGAAACCTGAAATACAGATAATATTTACCTGCATTGCCATACTAATATAAATGTATTGTTAGATATCAAAATGCAAACAAAAGTGAGCCAGCAATGAATTATGCAAAATAGCGAATAGTCTAAATCAACAGAATTAAAGGACCAATTGGCCTAGGACAGAACTTTGAGAATCCATTATTTTGAGTTGAAAATTATCAAAATGCTCAAGTAAAATAAGATATAATACAAAAGGGCCTCTGAAAGCTCAGAGGATCTGAAACCAGGCTTGGGTTTTCTGTCCTTTACTGGCATCAGATTTGTCCCTCTCCTTTTCCCTTGCTGATAAGGTTGGAGTATAAGAGAAAAAGCAGTGAGGGATTACCATTTGCAACTTTACAAAAAACTATAAAATAGCCTTTCTTCAGTAGTGACGCTTGTAGTTACCATGGTACAAATGAAGGGTAGGCCACAGGTGTGTAAGGGATAAGGAGATGCTAGCTAACACCTTTTCAGCACTAAGATGTGTCAGGTAGAATGGTAAGCCTTGAGGGTGGCATCTGTGACAAACTTCACTACTGGATAGAAAGAAAATTCTAGTATTAACCTCATGTTATAAATTTCAAAATGAAGGCTAAAGAAGTTTCATGACATGACCAGGTCTCCTGTCTATTAACTGGATGAAAAAAACACACAAACTTAAATGTGTATGACTTCTAAACCTCCGCTTTAAATGCCATGCTATGTGACTTTCTCTCTGAGGAAGCTGTTTGAAACTTAGAAGTACTTTTTCCTAAAATATTTCAATTGAAGTTTATGTCACTAGGTCAATCTTTTAAAAGGACTCTTTAACCCATTAAGTATGTAACATATAGTGTTTGTATTATTTCAACTATACCTAAGCATCATCGAAAATGATATCAAATTGCACTTATAGAGAATTTGGCCTCAAGAATGTTCCTTTACCTCTCCCTGCCTCGGCTTCTAGTTTGAAAGAAGAGAGATAATTATACCAAAGCCATATTGGACTACTGCTAGGATCCAATGAACTAATATGTAGCCAAACCACAGGGTAAAACATAGTCTCTTAGTGGAGAGTAGTGAAAGTTATAATTACACTCCAGGCAATGATTACTGGCAATATAAGGTGTATAGATAATGTATCATATCTTTGGAAGACATAAACACTGCATGAGGGAGCTCAAAGAAGGTTTCATGGAAGAGCTACATTTGAGTTGGGTCAGAAATTATGGTGTAGGGTTTAGGCATTTAGACAAAAAACATAAAATGGAAATGTTCTTTGTTGCGAGAGGAGTCTACTAATAGAAACTCTATACTAACTCTTACCAGAACCCTTCCTCCTCCCCAATTGAATACCCTTCAATTGTATACTGGGTCTGACAATTAAGTTCGTGAACTTGTTGTAATGATGTTGCTAACCCATTTTGATATCAGAGGCATTACTCATACCAACTGAACAAACAGCTAACCAAGTTTACTATTTGGAAGTGAGGAAAAGCCTGCGTGAACAAATTAGATGACCTGAACTTTTCGCCAACAACAATTCATGGCTCTTGCATCAGGACAATGCACCAGCTCACACGGCACTGTCTGTGAGAGAGTTTTTAGTCAGTAAACAAATAACTGTATTGGAACACCCTCCCTACTCACCTGATCTGGCCCCCAATGACTTCTTTCTTTACCCTAAGATAAAGGGAATATTGAAAGCAAGACATTTTGATGGCATTCAGGACATCAAGGGTAATATGACGACAGCGCTGATGGCCATTCCAGATAAAGAGTTCCAAATTGCTTTGAAGGGTGGACTAGGCACTGGCATCAGTGCATAGCTTCCCAAGGGGAGTACTTCGAAGGTGACCATAGTGATATTCAGCAATGATGTATGTAGCACATTTTGTAGGATGAGTTCGTGAACTTAATTGTCCGACCTCGTATACATGCACAGGTAATACTAAAAATATGTAACAAATGCTAGAGCAGAAACACTAACAGATAAGAAAAGATACTCTGAAAAATTCAAATGGACAATACCAGGAAAGATTGCACCAGTAAGTACCAGCCTATTATGATCTCTGCATATTTGTATGTTGGTGTTTTTTTGCTTCATCCCAACACTGTGGATACTATAGTAAACAGTGTTAAAAGTCATTACAATATATGTTTGCAGTTTTTATTGGCTTAGCTCCAAAGGACAAAATTTCATCTTATTTTTTTCTTTGTTGTTCCAAGTATGGCTTCAACTTCTGAATATCAAATATAAACTTCAGAGGCAGCCTCAGCACTTGAAAAGATGATGGATTTGGCTTCAAAATGTTCCCTTGGAACTTGGAAACTTGACTATTTTCAGAATCAGTAGCAAGAAAAAGTGCAACAGCCATCAGTACTCTATCTTTAGTCAAAACCCGGTGGTTGGCACCTATAATTTCTTACCTATTCATTGAATGAAGGGCAAAGCACCTTCATGGGGTTAAACCTTCTCAGTTCCTAGCCATAGCTCATAAAAGTATTTCTGGCTCAGAATCTTAAAGTCCTATTTTAAAGAATAAAATAACTCTCCTCAGGCCATTTGAAGATAATGACCACAAACACAGTAAAGCGAAGTGTCCCTATCTATTTAAAATTAAAATCACGTGTAGAGAGAAAACATACTGTTGAATTCACAGCTGACTTATGATTCTAAGATATGCTAAAGCAGAGTATGACAGATTAAGTCTACATAATGTAGTCTATTAATATTCTTTGTAAAACAGATATCTGCTAGTGATAGTACGAAAAAGCATCCATACTTTAGGCCATCACTAGAAGGGACCACCTTGCCCTATTTATGACTACCATCTATAAAACAACCAAGTTGATAGATATCATGTTATAAAGTCATCTGAATATCATGCAAACCTTCAATCAAGCCAGACCATCAGCATGCAGAATACATGATTTTGACCACTCTAGACTAAATTAATGTATTTAGTGTAATCTTTGGCTTACACTCAGACCCTCAGGCCCTGAAAGATAAATCGTTCAATCAAGTCTATTGTCATGTTAACTGTTCAAACCAGTACGCACTGCCATGAGATAATTTTTTTTTTTTAATGCTCATGTCCTTATATAGATTCTTTTGAAACCTAGGCAAGCTTTGGTAGTTCATACTACCTAATTTCTCATAGTCTCATTTTACCATTTCCACTTGAAGACTCTTAGGTAGGCCAGTTCATATCTCTTGAAGCCTAGGGCCAGATATGGATGAAAATATAAGTGAAAAATAATGTTAAATGTGAAGACTTAAACCAAAATGAAGGAGAATGGGGGAAACATAGGCAAACTGGCACTGCTACTTTCTGTTAATTTTAAGTAACTCTTATGACTTTGCTACCTATCTATGGATGACTATCATCATTTCTCTCGTCAGAATTCTTACCCACTATTTTTCACCAAACTTCTCCACATATATACTCCACAGGTGTTCAAAACACAAAATGTCCAGGAATGAATCAAGGTTACTTTCACTGCCAGCCTAAATCTGTACACCCTCCTGTATTCCCTAACCTGTGAATTGTATCACAATAAAGCCAGAGACTGCTAATCAACCCACACTGGTCCCCTAAGTCAGACACATTTTACACTGATTCATCTCAGGGTCGCATCTGCTGAGACGTCACTTCCTACGTCAGTGAGTCCGTCTTCCACGTGCTTCCACAGCACCAAGTGCTTGTCTCCATAAT